CCAGGATATTACAAAATAAATAAAAAAGCACATTTTCTCTGGCTCTGAAAAGTTCTACGTTCAGTAAATGCGGGCAACTGGAGGCAAACGGCTAGATTTCAGACTTGTCTTAAGTAGGTAGAGATTAAAATGTCATGATTAGAACTTCAGACTCCAGAAAGTTTGCGAAATCTTTTGCATGAGTAATGGAAGTAATTAATAAGAACGGTTCACGAAGGAGTGTGTACATCTCATACGACGTGAAATAATGTTAACTCAAGTTATCAAAACATGAGAACGTGAGTGATGAGAGAGAGAGCTAATAATGATGATAAGGATAACTATAATTATAATGATAATGATGATGATTATAGTGGTGATAACCTCGACAACAATATCTTTATCAACAACAGTGATGATAATGATAATTACAATGCTGATTATCATAATAATGGCAATAATGATGTTATTGGTACTGTTACTCTGCTGCTATCATTATTGCTATTGCTACTACGTTTACCATTACTATTAGTACTGTTGCTGATAATGTAATGCTATTAATAATAGTAATGAAACTAAGACTAGTGATAATATATCATAACAATAGTGGCAATAATAATATAAATAATAATGATCATGACCATGGTAGATATAATGCGTATCATAACAGTAATAGTAATATTAGTAGCAATGATAAAAATAATAGCAATAGCAGTCACAGTATTAGTGATAATAATAGTAACAGTAACATTAACATGAACAGCAACAGTAATAGTGATAAAAATACCAATAGTAATGATAATAATGGTAATAAAAAAACTGACATACTAGCAACAACACTACGACATCAAATAACAAACCGAATCGAATATCGTGTGCATAGCAGGTGGGCAGCGGCACTGTAGTCGGCGAGGCATTCCATCGGCTCCCCACGACTATCCCTTCGGCTTTGAGGAGACAGCGGTAGAAACTCCGCTCTTCTCTCTCCAACACTGATCCTTGAATCCCTGCACCTACCACGTCCAGGCCCTGAGGAGGAAGAGGAGGAGGAGGTGGGTTGACGAGTTGGTTAAGGATGGGGTGGGTGGTGGTGGGGGGGGGTGTATGTGTGTGATATTGGGATTTTTTATGTTAGTTTGGTTTGGTTACTGATTTTTTTTGGTTTTGTTTTTCCTTTTTTTTCTCTGTTGCCTGTCTGTCTGTCTGTCTGTCTCTCTCCTCTCCCTCTACATTTCTGTTTCTCTCTCGATCAATCAATCTTATATCCATAAAAAAAACATTTTTAATCCATTAGATTTTCTCACAGGAAACATTTCAGCCTAAACAAAGTCCTTCGCCCTTACAGCTAAAGATAAATCGCGTCAATGCACTTGTAGTCACACATCGTATTCAAAACTGGTCATTCATCATAAACAGGTACGAGCCACTACATCAACCCTACATTATTCATTCATGCTGATTCTCTCTGTCGCGTCGTGCACTATTTGGACTGGATAAATCATTCAGTTTGCAAATCTGTGGACATAAATAACAGCACGAGGGACAGTAAGCGATGAATGTAATAGATGTAAAAGTGATAAAATATGAACTGGAGATATAAATCGATAAAAATGGAATTGAAGATGTAAGTTGATAAAAAAAGGAATTGAAGATATAAACTGATAAAACAAACTAATTGAAGATATGTTGATAAAAATATTTGAAGATATAAGTTGATGAAAAAGTAATTGAACATATAGGTTGATTATAAAGGGAATTGAAGATATAATTTGTATTATTTCATTCTAGGTCATAGAAAAAGATAAATGTAAAAATGTGGATGATTAAACTAACTATACATTTTAGGTCATTTAGACTCCATTTGCAAATAAACCTTGGAAACGTTTATATGCTCATTCAAACAAGTAATTTGTCTGCTCATCTAGACCAAGTTTATCTTTGAAGTTTCAGTACCAAGGCAAATAATCAAGAATTTCGAGGCACGTTTTATTCGTTTCACAATTTCGAAGATAAATTCATGTTGCTATATTCATTTCACTTATGAAACTGTGATCATTCTTTGCAGTGAAATCATTATATAAATGTTATTCCGGATGATATAAATTTCCACAATCATATGTGATTTCATCGTAGAAATCAAATTAAAGACCTAAATTAAGACACTTAATCTTATTAATTATGTATTTGATAACAAAAATCAAAATCTAAATTCTGAGAATGCTTGTTTGATTTTTTTTCTTATCATCACTTGCGTCCTCTCCCCTCTATTTTATTATTTAGACTTGATAACGTGTTTTGCCAGATATGTTCTGGATCTCATTTTTTAAAATTCAAATATGCAATCAACTTTTCACCTTTAATTCGTTCTTTCAATCTCGAACGTAAATTGCAAGTACGCAAGTGCAAACAGGCAACCGGAGTCTCGCTAGCAACAATACCCTTGTCTTACTCTCATCCAATAGCTGCTGAATGATCAATGCCCGACAGTGTATGTTGGCGAACTTGGATTTTTGGTTTGTTTGATTGTCAAGAAAAAGAACACACGAATTTGAGTTGAAATTTATGGGAAAATTGTCCATGGACCAAAGAATGATAGATTAGGTTGTGGTACATGAATGACAAAACATTCTGTCTTCAGGCCTATAAATTCCATTCGTCTTCAGGCATGTAAATGTGATCCAAGAGTTTTCTTCACTCACGTGAACACTCAGAAATATGAGTCAACAACCAACAAGAATTATATTTTCTTTTAATATTTCGTGGTGAAACGCTGCATATTGGAATTGGGATTTACGTATATATTTTTTTGGCGTCTGCAGAAGTAGCCTATATTCTCTGAGAGCTTTCTAGCTGACCTGATTAATCACCAACGAAAGAACTTCAACACTTGAGATTAGCCTTTCTAAAGCGATTTGACAACAGCGAGTTACTCTTTCAGCTGCTGTCATTCGTAATGTCTCATGATTATTTCTATTTATAGTGACAACTTTGCCACCTCAGTTTATATAAAAAATATTTATTTTAGGTCTGGTTCACTGATTCGTGTTTCTGTACATATTCGTAGTAAAGAAGTTACTCTAGCCAGGTATGGATCTGATTACATATATGCTTGACCGTAGATACTTATTTTTTCACAGCTAGAGAAGAAATACGATCTCTTACACTCCTAATTACGACTTCATAAGTGCACTACACATACCTATGGACTCCGCAGATTACCATATATTTTCATACACACGAGTACATATACACAAATTAGAACTCCCCGTATAATATAGACAACACTCTATTTACTCACCAGTGATATGCTTGCCATGAGTCTCAGCACTGTTCTCGGGGCGGCCACCACATCTCTCTGTGCCTCCTCTTCGTCCACCTGTCTCGATGCCCATGCTGCTGGAAGGCCGTCATCTGGCTGGGTAGTGGGTGCTGGTATGATGAACATTCGCTTTGCGGTAGTAAGAGCTGCTGAAACTCTCAGGGTATAAGTACAAGTGTAAATAAGAAGTGCCTTTAAGTGTTTAGAACTATGGGGGTATGTTATATTTGTGGGAGTTATGTGTTGTAGCTCAGACAACTGGATCTGTGGTGTTGATAGAAGTGTTTATAAAGATGAAATACGGACATGTAAGGAAGGTATGATGCAATGGATTACTAGAACACAGAACGTGGTGAAAGTAAGGTCTTGATAAGTAGGGTATTTTATACGTCTCCTATGGTGAGTCCGGCCAGTATTTCCTCTTGATAATAATATCCACTGTTATCACGAGTGTTATTCTTCGCTTCCATGTACAAATCACGAGTTATCTTTACTGAATTGGACCGGCCAAGGAAGTTATGAATTGGTGAGTGATCTGTCAAGGAAATCTACAACTGGTGTTACTGGGTAGCTTTATAAGACTGAAACTGCGTTGTGTTGTGGTGCCAAGCGATGCCCCAGCTTGGCACCATCCCAGGTGAGTGCTAACCTCACTAGACACATATCCCAGAAAATCATTCATAAGTTCTCTATGGTATTTCATCTATATATTAATTTTGTCTAAGCCTGCATATAAAGCATTTTATTTAGATATTTATTTTGACTGAAGTTACATCTATGATTTTATTGATCTATTTATTTTGTCTAGAACTACGTAGACAGAACTTAAGTCATCGATCTAGTTTGTCAAGAAGAGTATATACATTGTATAACATTTAGTTTATTTGATTATTAAGGAAACAAAGCTCAGTTATTAATCACAATACAAGCCCCAGAGATCGTATTCTCAAATAGTATAAGTTTAATTCATATGTGTTATTATTATTTTTTTTTTATAAAAGCCAACTGATTATGGCACATATTTTATGCAACATACTGCAGGGAAAGGAATTTGTTATTGCAAAATAACAAATTTTATGAATCTTATCTACTTTATTGATAATAATTCTCATCATATGTGTAATCATTAAGGCATAACTGTCTATCTATTTGTCTGTCTATCTATCCAACACTCTCTCTCTCTCTCTCTCTCTCTCTCTCTCTCTCTCTCTCTCTCTCTCTCTCTCTCTCTCTCTCTCTCTCTCTCTCTCTTTATATATATATATATATATACATATATATATATATATATATATATATATATATATATATATATATATACTGTTTATATACATACGTACATACGCCACACAGATCCCCCCCCCCCCCAACCACCTCAAAGCATTCTCGTCACAGAAAACGGCTCCGTTTTGTTGCAGGGGTAACCAATACCAAGGTAAAGTCATGCGGATAATGACATGTGATTAAATTAGTTTTTCCACTCTAAGATTCACTTTGATAATCATTAAAAAAGGAACACATTAGAGGGACAATATAAAATACACATATTCTTCAGACAAGTTTTATTAAAAGATAAAAAAAAAACCTTTGTGGGTGCCATTACTTACCACTCTATATATCCTATACATTCAATCAACTTTCTATGCCAGCAGCCTGCCTAATCACAGTTATATCCAATAAATCTGAATCTGGAAAAAAAGCT